AACTCACACTCACACACAAAGTATTCTCTCTTGTTGTTTGTGTTGTGGCTTCTTTGCAAGACTTCTGCTCTCTTTTGCTTGTCTCTTTCTGAAACTGGTACGCCTTTATTTAAACTTTTGCCTCATCCCTATGTGTTTATTCTATAGTCTCATTCTTTTGTGTAGTTTGTTGTTCATGCTTCGTAACTTATGCTAAGTATTTTTCCTTTCTTGCTTCTGTTCTCATATGAAGCCCTACCCCCTAATCCCCTTTATGTGTTGAGTTGAAACCTTGGCCTGACAGTATCCCAATTACTGCCCAGGCCACGGTTTGACCTTCAATAGGTCCTGACTCTCCAATGTTTGGCTAGTGGGTTGGTCAGGGGTGTGCCAGCATTCTATGTTGCTGGGCATGACCACCAGCCTGCCTTGGTATCCCCTAATTCCCTCTATTGCACTTACACTTGTTCCTAGATTCTAAGTTCTGCCCCCCTCCAATGAGCCTTGCCTTGGGACCTTGAGTTCCCTCTGAACTTGGACATTGGAGGGTTGGCCCTTCCACACTGCACTTTAATTCAGTTCTGTAATGATATCTGGGTGTAAGCATTGCCTGGAGTTCTTGAAACTCCTTGGAAATTTGACACATTCCAGATAAGAGAAAGGCCTTGGAACTTGATCCCGGCAGTTGGCTCATATCATGTTTTTAGACCTTGGGTCTGAATTAGGCTCCTTGGATGCAACTTAAAAGCTCTGATGTAATTTTATTCTCTGTTTGATTCACTTGGTCTGTAATAAATTTTGAAATAACTTATGGGGTTTTAGTAAAAGGGGGAGGGTTATCTGTGTATGCATAAGGGTAGATATCCTGCCTATAGGAGTTTTTCTTTGAATTTCTGCACTTTCACATATAGAAATCGTGCTTATTTCTGCACTTCCACACATAGAAATCATGCTTATTTCTGCACTTTCATCTATAGAAATCATGCTCATAGGAATTCTGCGCTTTCATATGTAGAAACCATGCTCATAGGAATTCTGCACTTTCATATGTAGAAACCATGCTCATAGAACTTCTGCACTTTCATATATATAGAAATCATGCTCATAAGAACTCTGCATATCATATAGATATCCTGCTCATAAGAATTCCGCATGTGGGAACCATGTCTTTAAGATTTTGCATTTTTTTTGCATCTATCATTAGGAAAACAGTTATAGGGCAAAATAATAATCAATTGCATCCAGGATACCATGCTCGTAAGATTTTTTGCACTCTTGCCACGCCTGTAAAAAGTGTGTAAAATTAACAACGCTAGAAAGCATGCTTATAGGAACTATCAACCCAATCTGAATCACTCGTTTTAAGATTAGTCCGTCAGTAGTAACCAAATTCAGAACACGTATCATTCTGTTAAAACTGGAAACTTTCAGTAATCAGTTCACTTCCTTATTCCTGAAACCAGTAGATGCCATCACCTAGGCAAACAAGTAAGTAGTTAATTAATTACACCAGTCTTCGATAAGTTACATTCAGGCGAGCCTAATGCGAACTTCTTGTCTAAAAATATGTAATGAACCAGCCTGCCTAACGTTAAGCATAATTTGGAGCTAATCAGTATATGTAAGACGTGCTAAACTATATGATTTCTGTGATTAAAGGAGGTTTGTCTGAGCCTTAATTGCTTTTTGTGCTCCCATAATTGTTTTATGTGTTTTGCCTGACGCCTCCTTTTGAACCTCTGAAAAGCCAAGCTCCCTCCCTTTAGGATTAGTGGTCCTAAAGCCTCCAGGACTGATAGGTGGGACGGGTAATAGCACGTTGTAGGTAACGACACCATTTCGCGCTTAATACCTTATCGGGGTGGGAAGGGTAGACATGGAGATGATGATCACACGAAACACTACGCGTACGGTTGGTTACCGGTGTTGTGTGGATGATCCATGTGATTTATAAACCTAGGACCCCTTGCCCTATGTTTAATATCAATATATTCTGTCTTTTCAATTACCCAAAACTCCCCTTTATTTTTTTACTGCATTATCCATTTTCCTTCTTTGTTTATAAATTCCAACATGCTTGTTAGCGACCCTTATGTGTAAATTTATTTGCATACATATTTACATTAAAGTCACAACATAGCATGGCCGGGAACCACACTAGTGGATCTTGAGGGGTGCCTAACACCTTCCCCTCGAGATAATTTCTAGCCCTTACCCGAACTCTGGTTTTCCAATTCAAAATCCTTCTTAGTGTCCTAATGCACTCAATCATTAGGTGGCGACTCTTCAATTCCAAAAACACAATTCCCAAACGGGAATAGAGTTGTCTTCCCGAATGTCGTAAACCCGATTTCGCGAGAAAAAGGGGGCGTCGACAGGGACCCGTCAGTCCCGTGTCTTGAAGCAAGAGAAGGGAGTGAGCAAATAGTCTATCACGCTTTTGAGATTTTGGTCGCGGACCAGTACGAAGAGGGAAACCCTTGCCTCCAACCCTTCCTCTCCAATGCATCAATCATGGTGGCCAAAGAAATGATCAGGCATGGCTATAAACCTGGGAAGGGACTTGGGAAATCATTGCAAGGAATAGCGGAACCTATCACCCTGACCGCCAGTGAAAAGTTCTTTGGGGTAGGCTTCCGACCCACTCCAGCTGATGTAAAATGGGCAGATGATAGAAAAAATGATGGTTGGGTTTTGCCTCAGCCGGTGCCGCATCTGTACAAAACATTTGTCAAGCCCAAATACAATGAAGAAGAAGAGGATGAGGTTTTTACAACCGAAGAGATTGAAGAGATTTGTGGGGCAATGAGGAAGTTATTATATGAAACCCATATGGTCCAGTCGGGGGAAGGCTCAAGCATTGCTGAGGTGCTATACATGGGACCTGAGGCAAAACTGCAAAATTGGAAGGCTACGCCATTCCCAATCAGGCGGGAGTCCCGGTAGACTTGTCTTGCCACCTTTTCTACGCCACGAGTTATTCCAGGGTGTAACTCGAATGTTTTCTTTAGTTTCATGTCTTTTAATTTCCAATGTAAACCCTGTTATCTTCCAAATTCAATGAAATAAAATCAATATTTCATCGTCCATCTTTCTTTATTCCTTCTGATTTTCGTTATTTTTATTTCTTCTTTCAGTTCTAATAATGCGGCTTTAAAAATAACATGACATGCTTGCGGACTTCATGCCCAGATCCAAACACGCTGTCTAACTGTGATATAATGAACCAAGAACCGGAATACGATGAAGAAGAGGCTTTTAGGGAAATAAATCGAGAATTGGAACAATTTGAGAATAAATCTAAGACGAACTTAAATGATACTGAACCGGTCAATTTGGGTAGTGCTGAAGAAGTCAGGGAAACCAAGATAAGCATTCATACAAATGAGAAAACTCGGGACGCGTTGATCCAACTCTTGTTTGAGTTCAAAGATATGTTTGCTTGGTCATATGATGACATGCCAGGACTGAGTGTCGATTTGGTGGTTCATAAGTTGCCAACTTACCCCGATTATTCCCCTGTCCAGCAAAAGCAGAGAAAGTTTAAAACTGACATCAGTGACAAGATCAAAGAAGAAGTCACGAAACAGTTGAAAGCAGGGGTGATCCGAGTAGTTCGGTATACCACATGGCTAGCCAATGTAGTTCCAGTGCCGAAGAAAGACGGGAAAACCCGAGTGTGTGTGGATTACAGAGATCTAAACAAGGCAAGTCCCAAAGATAACTTCCCTTTGCCAAAACTTCCACATCCTTATTGGTAACTGCGCCAAACATGAGATACAGTCCTTTGTGGATTGTTACGCAGGATATCACCAGGTGTTGATGGATGAAGAAGACGAAGAGAAAACAGCTTTTACCACACCTTGGGGTACATACTGTTACAGGGTCATGCCGTTTGGTCTGAAGAATGCTGCGGCAACCTACATGAGGGCCATGACCGCCATTTTCCATGATATGATGCACCAAGAAATAGAGGTGTATATGGACGATGTAATCATCAAGTCCAAAACCCAGGATGATCATGTTCGGGACCTGAGGAAATTCTTTGAGCGTTTGCGCAAATATGATTTGAAGCTGAACCCAGCCAAATATGCGTTTGGAGTCCCATCGGGCAAACTTTTGGTCTTTATAGTCAGCCGAAGAGGTATTGAGTTAGATCCAACAAAGATAAAATCTATCCGGGATTTGCCTCCTCCGAAAACCAAGAAAGATATGATGAGCTTGTTGGGCAGATTAAACTATATCAGCCGGTTCATTGCTCAGTTGACATCCACGTGTGATATTCAAATTGCTGAAGAAAGACGCGGCAATCAAATGGACAGACGAATGTCAAGAAGCCTTTGATAAAATCAAGGAGTATCTGTCCAACCCACCGGTCTTGGTCCCACCTGAACCAGGGAGACCTTTGTTCTTGTACCTGACAGTCTTGAAAAACTCTTTTGGCTGTATCCTCGGGCAACATGAGGTAACCGGAAAGAAAGAGCAGGCAATCTACTATCTGAGCAAGAAGTTCACCAGCTATGAAGCTAAGTATACCCTTCTGGAAAGAACCTGCTGTGCTTTAACTTGGGTCGCTCAGAAGTTGAGACATTATCTACAAGCCTACACCACTTACCTTATAACCAGGTTGGATCCTTTGAAATACATATTCCAGAAACCAATGCCCACAGGAAGATTAGCAAAGGGCAAATCCTGCTCACGGAATTTGACATAGTCTACGTCACTCGCACGGCAATGAAAGCCCAGGCATTGGCAGATCATCTGGCTGAAAACCCGGTTGATGATGAATACCAACCTTTGAACACTTACTTCCCAGATGAAGAGGTAAACTCAGTCGAGGCAATATCTGAGGATACTACTGCTTGGAAGATGTTCTTTGATGGAGCGGCAAATGCAAAAGGTGTGGGAATTGGGGCAGTCTTGATCTCACCTACTGGTCAGCATTACCAGCCACAGCTCGGCTTCGGTTTTTCTGCACAAACAACACCGCCGAGTATGAAGCCTGTACCATGGGTATGAACATGGCAATCGACCAGGACGTCGAAGAGTTGTTGATCATGGGGGACTCAGATCTGATTATTCGGCAAGCTCAGGGATGGGAAACTCGAGATATTAAGCTTATCCCTTACAGGCAGCATGTGGAAGACCTCAGCAAGCGATTCAAGTTGATAGAATTTAGGTACATCCCTCTTTGTCACAACGAATTGGCTGACGCACTTGCTACTTTGGCCTCAATGCTGCCGTACCCAGGTAATGCTCACATAGATCCCTTGGAAATCCGAATCCGGGAAAGGCATGGTTATTGCAATACAGTCGAAGCAGAACAAAATATCAGGCCATGGTACCATGACATTAAAAGATTTCTGAAAACGCAAGAATACCCCGAGCAAGACAGTGGGGATCAAAAGAGAACCATCAGACGACACGCGAGTGGTTTCTTTTTGAGCGGTGATGTCTTGTACAAAAGGACTCCGGATCTCAATCTGTTAAGATGTGTTGACCTCGAAGAAGCCGGAAGGATCATGCATGAAGTACACACAAGAGTGTGCGGACCCCACATGAACGGGTATGTTTTGGCAAAGAAAATCCTCCGAGCAGGCTACTACTGGATAACCATGGAAAAAGACTGTTTCAGTTTTGTTCGGAAGTGTCATCAGTGTCAGGTGCACGGTGATTTGATTCATGCACCCCCCACAGAACTGCATCCTATGTCCGCACCTTGGCCATTTGTTGCTTGGGGCATGGACGTCATTGGGCCGATCGAGCCGAAAGCCTCAAATGGGCACAGATTCATACTGGTTGCCATTGATTACTTCACGAAATGGGTTGAAGCCATCACTCTCAAATCTGTCACCAAGAAAGCTGTGGGAGATTTTGTGCACTCCAATCTTATCTGTCAATTTGTTATTCCTGCAACTATCATCACAGATAATTCTGCAAACTTGAATAGTCGTTTGATGGAGGAAATATGCGAACAATACAAAATAACGCATAGGAACTCTACTCCTTATCGACCTAAAGCCAATGGTGCCGTCGAAGCAGCAAACAAGAACATCAAGAAGATTTTGAGAAAGATGATTCAGAGCTCCAGGCAGTGGCATGAAAAGTTGCCTTTTGCATTATTGGGATATCGCACTATGGCGCGCACATCGGTTGGAGCAACCCCATACCTTTTGGTCTATGGCACTGAAGCCGTAATACCTGCGGAAGTTGAAATCCCCTCTCTCCGGATCATTGTTGAAGCTGAAATTGAAGACAGTGAGTGGGTCAAGACCCGTCTGGAACAGCTGACACTGATTGATGAAAAGCGGATGGCTGCGGTCTGCCACGGTCAGTTGTACCATCAAAGAATGGCCCGTGCCTACAATAAGAAAGTGCGGCCCAGGAATTTCGAAGTGGGGCAACTCGTGTTAAGGCGCATTCTTCCCCATCATCAGGAAGCGAAAGGAAAATTCGCTCCTAATTGGAAAGGCCCGTATATCATCAGGAAAATATTGCCAAGAGGGGCATTATACTTGGGAAATATCGAAGGAAATGATCCCGAAGCGGCTGTGAATGCGGATGCAGTAAAAAGGTACTATGTTTAGGCTTTCCGCAGCGGTAACATTATCTGATTGGGATGACGAAGGCTTTTATTCTCGCTACCCAAACACTATCAACCTTTTGCAAACCCTTTGAGCCGGTTACTCTTCTTTGATTACCCTCTTTGGAACCCGAAAGTGTTAATGAAAAAGAAAATGAAAAAAAAAGAAAGAAGAGAAAACAAAACAAAACAGAAAAACAAAAGAAAAAAAAACAAAACAAAGTGTTTTCCCTGAACTACGTTCGACTTGATTCCGAAAGGATACGTAGGCAGCCTCTCTCTAGGGTTCAATCACGTCAAAACAAAAATCCAAAGTCCCCCAAAATGTGAAACTGGGGCAGATATTATAATGGCTCGGCGGTGATCCCGCCCCAACGGTTCCAAAGTTGTAATTCGTTCTAATTTTTTACCCGAACCTTGTCCAAGTCCTTCTGATCAATCAGCCAAAGGCGTCGGAATTAGAGAATACAACTGTTTGGGATCTGATACAATCAAAATAAGAGAGTCTTATCGGTGAAAACCTACGGGCACCATAAGGCGACGATGAGCAGAGAAATTGAAAATGAGAGAGCCTGGTTAGTGAAAACTCGTAAAGAGCATTACCAGGTGACGGTGAGAAGAGAAATGAGAGAGGTCGATTGGCGAAAACCCGCAAAGGGCATCGTCGATCGAAAAGAAAACACTCCTCACCTCCTGACAAGGTTTCTCGGTTCGGAAATATGGGTCACAATGAGGTTATGAGAAGTTGGGAATGTTTGTGTGGGTCGGGCATCCAGTCCAAGAAGCATGTCATGTCTATTGAAGCCTGCATGCACCCCAGATAAGTCCTTCCTCCCTTCCCGAAAGGGACACTTCTCTTTAAATTCATTTTTCTTGCCTTTTGTTTACTTTTCCTTGAATCCCTTTTGGTCTAAATCTGTTTCCGAAACTAGTACAAAGAAAAGGTGGCAAGATTGGTTTCACAGGGTTCCGCCTAACAAAAGCCAAGCCTGAAGAAAAGTACCTAACCTCAGCGGGTGCATCAAGTTGATCCTGGCTGGCCACGATGGCTAATGCTCTGAAATCAAAGTTACGGAAAAGGAAAAAGAAATCCGAATTCAAAATCCCTTAGAGGCAGAATAAAGTGAAAAGGCCAAAGCCTCATATGGGCGAGCCGTCATGAGAAATCTTGAAAGTTGAGGTCCTCGGTTTGAGAGGGAGATCGGTCTTCAGAAAAACCAGCAAGCAGCAGAGGTTCTTACCAAAGAGTTGGGCCAAGATCAAGTGATCAAAACAAGCAAGGCCACAAAACCAACCACCGTTTCAAACTAACGATTGTTCTTTGTTTGAAAAGTTAAAACAGGTGTAATCCAAGCAACCGTGCAAGAAGCAGGTGCAACCAAAAAGAAATGCACAAGAGCTAGAAACAGCTCTGCAACAATAATCAATCCAAAAGGAAAGTCTCTTTCAAATTCTTTCCTGCATTTTTACCCATTTTCTTAAACTTAAAAAAAATGAAGAATGATGGAAAAAAAAAAGAGGAAGAAAAATTCAAAATCATGGTAGCATAGGGCCTCTGATCTCTAGTTGCATCCTTTCTAACATAGGGCCCCATTCCCTAGTTATCCCCGGCATAACCCGAGTACCTTTTTCCTTTTCTCCCGGCATAACCCGTGGACCTCCCTGGCATAACCCAAGGACCTTTTTCTTTTCTCCCCGGCATAACCCAAGGACCTTTTTTCTTTTTTTCCCGGCATAACCCGTGGACCTCCCTAGCATAACCCAGGGACCTTTTTTCTTTTTCCCCGGCATAACCCGTGGACCTCCCTGGCATAACCCAAGGACCTTTTTTTTTCTTTTCTCCCGGCATAACCCGTGGACCTCCCTGGCATAACCCAAGGACCTTTTTTCTTTTATCCCGGCATAACCCGTGGACCTCCCTGGCATAACCCAATGACCTTTTTTCTTTTATCCCGGCATAACCCGTGGACCTCCCTGGCATAACCCAAGGATCTTTTTTCTTTTATCCCGGCATAACCCGTGGACCTCCCTGGCATAACCCAAGGACCTTTTTTTTTCTTGTCTCCCGGCATAACCCGAGGACCCTTTTTCTTTTATCCCGGCATAACCCGTGGACCTCCCTGGCATAACCCAAGGACCATTTTACTTTTTATCCCGGCATAACCCGTGGACCTCCCTGGCATAACCCAAGGACCTTTTCTCTTTTATCCCGGCATAACTCGTGACCTCCCTGGCATAACTCAAGGACCTTTTTCTTTTTATCCCGGCATAACCCGTGGACCTCCCTGGCATAACCCAACGACCTTTTTTCTTTTATCCCGGCATAACCCGTGGACCTCCCTGGCATAACCCGAGGACCCTTTTTCTTTTATCCCGGCATAACCCGTGGACCTCCCTGGCATAACCCGTGGACCTCCCTGGCATAACCCAAGGACCTTTTTCTTTTTATCCTGGCATAACCCGTGGACCTCCCTGGCATAACCCAAGGACCTTTTGTTTTTCTCCCCGGCATAACCCGAGGACCTTTTTCTTTTTCTCCCGGCATAACCCGTGGACCTCCCTGGCATAACCCAAGGACCTTTTTTCTTTTATCCCGGCATAACCCGTGGACCTCCCTAGCATAACCCAAGGACCTTTTTCTTTTTATCCCGGCATAACCCGTGGACCTCCCTGGCATGACCCAAGAATCGTTTTTCTTTTATCCCGGCATAACCCGTGTACCTCCCTGGCATAACCCAAGGACCTTTCTCCCTTTTATCCCGGTATAACCCGTGGACCTCCCTGGCATAACCCAAGGACCTTTTTCTTCTATCCCGGCATAACCCGCGGACCTCCCTGGCATAACCCAATGACCTTTTTCTTTTATCCCGGCATAACCCGCGGATCTCCCTGGCATAACCCAAGGACATTTTTCTTTTATCCCGGCATAACCCGGGGACCTCCCTGGCATAACCAAAGGACCTTTTTCTTTTATCCCGGCATAACCCGTGGACCTCCCTGGCATAACCCAAGGACCTTTTTCTTTTATCCCGGCATAACCCGTGGACCTCCCTGGCATAACCCAAGGACCCTTTTTCTTTTTCCGGCATAACCCGGCCAGTTTTCCAGCATAACCCGGTAATTTAGGGCTTCACTCCCTAGTCCCAAGGAAACATAATCCCAATTTTTATGGCTTTCAATAAAGAGATAGTTTAGATTTGTGTTGCAAATGACTCACGAAATTTTCCTGGTGAAAACTGGGGCAGAAAATTTCGTTCGTTTGTTTGTTTTTGGTGTCTGCGCAGGTTTGACCTCGAGGCACAGGATCCAAGGTGGCCGAAAGAATGAGTCTCAGTCCAAAATAAAGAAAAGAAGGAAAAGAACAAAAGAAGTGAATTCAAAATGCTGAAGCGGACAAAGATGCGGACTGGTCATGGTACAATTGAAGTCACAAGCTTCGCATGTCCCGTTTAGATCCCAAGCTGAAGAAAGAATCAGCACCTACAGCTGACGAGCATCAAGATCCAGATCGGAGTTAACAGCAAGAACCAACTAAGACTCAAGATCAAACTTCAAGAGATTTATAGATAGGAATCTTGTAACTCGTAGTTAATAGGCCTAGCTAGCTTAGCTTTTGATTTTCCATTTTGGTGTAATAAGGAGGTCAGCAAGCAGTAGCAGCAGCAGCAGCAACAACAATGAAATCATAGCTCCCGATAGTCCCAGCTACCAAAACTTCCAGAACTACACTGACCTGATTCCTTTATAGCCAAGGATATGTAGGCAACCTCTGAAGCAAGGTTCGATCAGACACTTTTCAAAAATGCTTCTCATGGAGTGCTAAGCAAGCAATCCCTCATAATTGCTCATTTTATCTTTGCCTGAAAACCCTTCGTGTCTCCGAGCAAAGAGGGCAGCTGTGAGCACGTGATTTTTGCCTCGCATGAATTACTCCTACAGAATTCCCAAAATTAGAATTTTTCTTTTAGTTATTTTGTTTTTTTAGGAATTATTGCATAATTTTTCTTGTTTGTTTGCATTTTTGTGTGCATGTTTAATTTTTATTTAACCCCTAAAAATACAAAAATACATTGCATTTGCATTTAGGATCCAATTTTATATTTTAGGATAATTAGTTAATTAATGTTACAAAAATGAAAGAAAATAACAAAAATAGTTCATTTTGCATTTTAACTTTTTAATTTTCGAATTTTTTATAGTTTTCTTTTAATTTAGGACTTTATTAATTTTTGAGAAGCAATTAGTTTATTAATTTCGTTTTAGAATTAAATCAGATTTTATTATTAATTTGTAATTAACATAATTTGAAAATAAAAAAAAAACAAAGAAGGAAAAGGTTTTTAATAAAAAGAAAGAATTTTTCTTTGGGCCAACCCACCTGCAGACCCGGCCAAATCCTCCAAAACCGGCCCAGACCCGTGCTGTTACCCGGTCCAAAGTCNGTATCTAAAAATATCAAATTTAGATATTTGTACCCTGTCGAAGTTAAGGAACCATGGCATATATGTTTGGAATAGATTCCATTTTGAGAGAGTTGAAAAAGCACTATCTCGTTGAAAGGTTCTATACATCTGCCTTTCTCTAACGCATTTCTTTAGACAAAGTACTCCGTTTTTTCCTCTTTTCGGATGATAAATCTTTCTCAGAACATGGAGTGTGAATCAAACCCATGTTTGAATTGAAATTGAGATACTGATGCAAGTTCTTCCCTTCTGAATCAGATAGATTCATATCTGAAAGAGGTTGACAATAAGTTCTTTCAAAATTGACTATTTGCCCCTCTGTTAGAGGTGTTCCAGAAATGTCTAGCCCACGGCGGTGGCCGGCGGCCAAATGCACCCAAATTTACACCCTAGAACCCCCTTGACCCCCTCTTTCCAAATCTCCAACCATCTTCCCTCGAATCCCCCTGTATCTCTCCAAAAATCCCATCGAAGTTGGAAACCCTAGCGCCGCCCTTGTTTTCTCTGGTGGCGGCGCATCTCTGTTCAACCCCAAACTAACACCAAATAACCCCCAAGCCTCACTCATTCCAAATACCCACTCCGTCTGCTTCAAAACCATTCAGAACCTTTCGAATTTTAGATTGGAGCTCTGAGCCCTAAGTTTCCAAAATGTAAGTCAGTGGTAGTGTTGAAGATTTGAAGCCGGAAGGGGTTTTATGCATGTGTTTCATTTGAGAACACGTGATTAAAACCCATTTCGGTCAAAATCGGAGGGTACTGGAGGTCTGTTCAAACCAACCATCCGCCTATCTGCTTTGGGTATTTCGGTTCTCTTCCTCTCGTTTCTTTATTTTTGTTCTCTTTTCCTCGTCTCCTTTTTTCTCTTTCTCTTTCTGCTTGTTTTTGTTTCATTTGACCATTTAGTAAAATTAGATGGGATGAACTTGTTAGTAATTTTGTTTCGCTATGTCAAACGAACTTAGGGTCAATTCTGTTATGTTAATTTTGTTATTTTTGATCTTTTGTTTTTTGTTTTTCATAAGTGGCAATTTAATAGTCAGAAAATGATCAATTGGTTGCTTCTTATATTGTCAATTAGCTTTGGTAAGGTTTGGGCCATAAATTGAGCTTTGAATACTCATTGGACTGGTTTAAAATCAGCTTTGGGCCTGGTGAGTCATTTGTGGCCTGATTCAAAAGAAGCCCGGTTTGTTTTGGCCCAGGGGATTTTCCATAAGTGTAAAAACAAGGTAACTAAGGGGTAATTTGGGTAATTCAGCTAGGGAATCTTGCAATAACCACCTGAAGAAGCTTCTTAGAAGCTGAAAACAGACTTGCTTGGCAAGCAAGTCAGTAATTCAAGGAATTTTAAGCAAAAATGAAAATTCACAAAGGGCTCAAATGCAAAACTGAGCACTTTAAGGCTGCCCTAATAGCTTGCCTATAAAGGCATTGCTAAGGAAAGCTCAATTGAGATTTTTAGAGAGCTAAAAAATCCAAAAAAAGCAAGGCGGCTGAAAATTTCCAGTAAAAACACTGTTCCATTGGTTTTTCTTTGGTGATTTCCTGAAGTTTTCTAATCCGGAAGCATTTTTCTGGTTCATTTGGGGCTAAAATGGTTTGAATTTGGTTTTGAAAGCTTGGTGTTAAAGTCAGCTTGGTCTACTGTTCGATTGGTTTGGTTTTGAATTGTTTCAAATTACTTTTCTGGGTTCTGCTGGTGCTGACTCTTGATACTGCCCTGCTGATACCTCATTTTCTGCTTTTGTTTTCAAATTCCAGGTACATTCTCTTGAATTCTGCTGGATGTATGTTTCATAATGAAGATGAAAGTGAACGTTTGAAACATGGCCTCGAATTTGTGTTGTTTATTTATATTTTTTTTCATGATGTTTATACGCTTGGTCACTTGATTCAATGTAGATTAGTTATTTTCAGTTTGATTAGCTAAGTTTTTGTGTTCTAGTTGAACTCTGGACTGTTGGGAGTTTGTCACCGATAGAATATAGTAGATGTAGAGTCTTGAAGAGTTTCTTTTAAGCATGATGGTATTGAGATGTATTAATTTAAACCTCTTTGTTACTTGGCAAGTTACATTTCGTTTTTTTTTAGAATCGCTTGGAATAAAAATTCAAAACATGAAAATGAGTTGTAAAGAAGCATTTGTTGATCTGTGATGAATTATCTCAATCTGCGAGTGGAGTAATCATGTAACAATTTCTAGAAGTGCTCAATCAAATGAACATTTAAGTTTGTTGTGTTAAGTGCTCCCAGTAGCCTAATGGTTTGCAAAATATAAAACCCCCCTTACTCTTTGTTTACATCGCATTTTCTAGGCCTATCTCAGTTTTGTTTTGCTGTGTTAGTTAATGTTTTCTTCTTCGTTTGCTCAGTTGGTCAGCAGTGTTATCCTGTTGGCCACATTCTAAATATTGTGTTCCTTTTTTGTCACATGGGTTCGATCCGCAACCCACTCAACACTCGACTCGAGCACCTCATCAGAAATGGGCCTGCTTTGAGTCCCCAAATCTTGCAATGGTTTAATTCTCATTTGGCATGCGTTTGGCATTTGATTGCTTTCAACTTGTGCATTGTGGAGACTCAACACCGAGTCTTTCACTCAGAATCAGCGAGTTTATGAGTTTGGGCTCACTCTTGGGCCCAAGCGTGACAGTCTCTTTCGAATGGGACTCGGATTACTTTCTTCTCATTGGGCCAGTGGTTTATTTGTGCTGGATCGGCCCCTTTGCTTAAAATAATTAACTATTTCCCATGTAAACCTAGTTAGTTTAAATAAAGCCTTTAATTACATTTAGTATTGATTAATCAGACTTTTAACTAGTGGAGGTGAGCCGTAGTAGATAACACAAATGGTCATGGCCCTCCGAATTTTAGTTTGAATACCCTTTAAAATGGAATTGAGGTGCGTCGCGCCAAATAAAATCCCAAATGTGTGGCCCTCCCTTAATTATTTCTTTTAAAATCCTTAGACTTTGAGGCGTGCCATTTAGCAAATTTCCGTGGCCCTCGCAAAGTTAAAACGCGTAGTTGCTTTAGGCGCGTTATTTTAATAATGTTACTTTCCTAAACTCGGGTGCGCATTTATGTGACCCAAATTCAAATCTCAACGTTAGATAAAATGTGTTGCGGACTGCGGGTGCATTTATGTGACGTGGTTCAAGACATATTTTAAATGACGTTGCAATTTTCCTTAAATAATGAAATAAAGCGGTTAAAGTTTAAAATTGCACCATAGGTTAGAACATATATTAAAATCAGTTAATGGGCCAATTATAATAGTTTAAGCGACCGTGCTAGAACCACGGAATCCGGGGTGCCTAACACCTTCCCTCGGGTTAGCAGAATTCCTTATTCAGAATTTCTGGTTCGCAGACTTCAAAAGGAAAGTCGAAATTTTCTCGATTTGGGATTTGAAATAAACCGGTGACTTGGGACACCAATTAAAATATCCCAAGTGGCGACTCTGAATAAAATAAATAAATAATCCCATTTCGAATAATGTCACTTTAATTGGAAAACTCCCTATATATACCTTCGGGTGTGTAAAAAGGGAGGTGTGACACAAGCAGCTAAGGGAGAAAGTAGCCCGATTGTTCAACGAGGGTCACCTTCGAGAATTCTTAGTGATCGGGCCAAGAAACACTTCAAAAACAGGGATTCTAACAAACAGAACGAGCAGGAAAAGCCATAACACATGATTCACATGATCGTTGGAGGGGTCGATATTCCTCATGGTCCAGTATTTAAACGCACCAAGGTGTCGATCACAAGGGAAAAATGGATACAAGACTACTTACCAAAAGGGACCTTGTCTTTCAATGACGAGGATGCGAAAAGGATCGAACAACCTCATAATGACGC